GAAGGGTCATGGGTGTCAGAGCCATTGCTTAGAGGAGAGCTGTCTGCTGACCAGGGACACATGCTATGGACTTTACATGAGCTAGAAGTAAATGGTTATGGCATTTGAGTCATTACACAATTTGCTCTGTAGAGTTAGCCTGCCTAACTAGATACCATGCCTAGAATGCCAAATAGAACTGGTGAGTTTAGTAAAGGGGCTAAGAGTTTCAGGCTCTGCTTTAACTTGATTATTTATATGTAATGATCTATGCAGTGGCCATGGATTTTAAGAGTCTAAGTCATGATAGAATAAGTGGCAAAAAAATGTTTAATGTATTCACTTCTAGTTGGTACAGTGGTTTATTGCACTCAATATGGCCTCTCTCCATATTTGATTTAATAAGCTATGTGGATCCTCAGTTAGCTTTAAAGGTACTCTGTGGAGACTTAAACATCCTCAGTTCTTATTTCAAAGAACTGTAAATACAGTTTTCACCGTGCTACTTTTCTTTTCCAAAGCCTGTAATCACGTCTTACCATACAGCATTTTGTTTCATTAATCCATTACCCCACACCACGTACATATAATCAAAGTGCCTATGTTTAACATCCTGACCTAGGTTCTTTGAAGACAGACAAAATGAATAATATATAGGCCCTGCCTTCAAAGAGTTTGTGCTTGGTACACTGATAGTTACTACCTTTACTCACCTCTACCAACTACTCCTCATTTTAGCCTTTCTTTTTTTTTTTTGGTGGGACTGGGGTTTGAACTCAGGTTTTACCTACAAAGCTACTGCTTGAGCCATACCTCTAGTCAGTCCATTTTGCTCTGGTTATTTCAGCCATGGGGTTCTCACAAACCATTTGTCCTGCCTGGCCTCAAACCTTGATTCTCCTGATCTCAGTTTACCAAATAGCTAGGATTATAGTCACTGGTGCCTGACTCATTAGCATTTAATAGTCCATGTATTATTTTTTTATTTTTTATTTTTTTTAGCATTGTCTCCTTAACTAGATACTGTAATTTCTGAAAGCAGGGATTATATTTTACAGAGTTCTGCATCTCCCCTCTTGGGTACTTCTAGCATATACAGGGCTCTATATTTAATTGAGTATTCCTATAGTTTTTCTTAATTATCTTGCTTGGATATTTGAGCATAGTTTTGTATTGTAGTCTGCATTAACAGACAAAAGTGCTTTTTTAAAGTTGTTTAGGGATTTATGGTATTATGCGGTTGAAGAATGTCAGGACTGGAAGGATCATTCTTAGATACTTACCTAATTCCTGATCTTTTAGGTTGATCATCTGGTTATTGATAGTCAAGGTATGACCATTAATCTTGGCATGGCATCACCTTGGGCTTGTTAGAAGCATTTGCTCTTGCCCCACATAGACCTATAAATCAGAACTTGTATTGAAACAAGATCCTCAGATGACCACATGCCCATAAAGTTGAAGAAGCCCTGCTCAAGGTCACCCTCACATTTGACTTTTGAGAAAACCAAGAAAGTCAGAGTTACCCAGAGTCACAGGACTGGGATCACTTGAAAACCTTTAAAAAATATTGGTGCCTGGGTCCCTTTCCCAGACATTTGGCCCTAATTGGTCAGGATTGCATCTTGGGCATCAGAATTTTTAAACAATCAATGATCAAATGACTACCTGAGGCTGAGAACCCTTGATTTGGTTAGTGACAGAATCCAGGCTTTTTTGTTGCTCTAACCAAGCATTCCTTTCACTCCATCATGGATAATCTGTTCAGGAACAAGGAGAAAAAACCCAGTGTTCATAGTAATGCACCTCTTTTTAAAAAAAATTTCCTTTATAACGTATACCCCAGTTAGCATCCTTCTTACTGTCTGCCTTGCCCTTCTGGAATGTTCCTCCAGGAGGGCAGGACTTTTGCCCTCCTGTTCCCTGCTAGGTCTCAGCTGTGACAGTATCTGGCATGTGGCAGGTGCTTCTTTCATATATATAGACCAAATGGAAGGAGTTACAATAAGGAGGCATGTGTTTTTTGGGAGGGAAATAGGCTACTCTGAAAGTACCTGCGGGACCGCATAATTCTGGAACCAGAGGCTTCCTGAAGGACCATTGGCCTGCATAAACTGAAGGTTTGGCCAGGGAGAGCAGCAGGACTTCTGCAGCTGAGGGAGGACTTGAAACCATCTCTTTCTGACTTGACTGCTTTTGCATTTCCATTCTGCTGTGTTGTCAGCAGTGAGTAGGGAACAGGAATAGACCACTCCTGCTCTTTAGGTACTTGGGACTGGCCCTCCTACTTCCTCAGGGGGTAAAGCCATTGTAGTAATGCAGAAAGGCATCTCGAGGTGGTTCAGTATGTGATTCTGTGAACAGGGCCTGGCACCAGAGTATCTAATTCCACTTGTTACCACCCACATTTTCTTGTGCTTTGGCTTATTTGCTTTGAGAACCTGGAGTTTTTGAGGTTAGAAGGACTTAATAGATTTTACTTTCAACTTATGTGAGTGCCTTTCCTATAGTTAATTACTAAGACTGTTTATTATGGCAGTGCTGTGGAGAAAGCATGCTTGGTTTTTGCCCATAATACTTACGTTATGTATGTTATTTTAGTGTTTATGTCTTCCTGTTTGTTATTTGGAATGTTTTACCACTAATGATCAGATTTTGAAGTTCAGTGTGAAAATCTTTTTTTGTGAAGCTGTTTTTTCGTATGTCCCCACCAAGAATTAGTGATTTTTTTTTTTTTTAATGCAATACTAGGGTTTAAGCTTAGGACTTTGTGCTTCCTAGGTAGGCTATCTACCTCTTGAGCCACCCTTCCATCCCTTTTTGCTCTTGATATTTTTGAGATAGGGATTTGCTTTTTTTGCCTAGGCCAGTCTGGATCATGATCCTTCTGTTATAAGCTTATTGATTGCCATAGCTGAGAGATGACAGGTATGAACCACTGTGCCCAGCTGTTGGTTGAGATGGGGTCGCATGAACTTTTTGCCTGCCTTGGCCATGAACTCTGATCCTCCCTGATTTTCACTTCCTGCCTCTCAAGTAGCCAGGATTACAGCCATGACCCACTTGCATCCGACCGACCATTAGTGATTTTTAAACTTTTGACCTAAGACCATTGTGAAGATGTCTTGAAAAGTTATCTTACGCTATTTATTTTCAGTAATAGAAAGCCAGAAAGTGTTAAGCCTTGAATATAAGATGTCTTTTTAAGTTCGAGTTCAGAAACTGCATAGAGATTAGATGTTACCTTTGTGTGACCAGGAGTCTGCTGCTGGAAAGTGGCAGATGTTAGAGGAAGTTGGGGTTCTGTTGACTTCATATCAGTTGCTTTGCATAATCAGCTGTAATTCCATGTTCATGGTCATAGATAGAACTAACATCCTGATGATAGTCCATAATTTATAGGGAGAATCCTGGGATCCAGATGTTACTACAGGCTATTACCATAAGCGGCTACTGTTTGGTGGGGGGGGGGGGGAGGCAGAGGCAGAGAGAGAGAGAGAGAGATCCTACATAAGAATTTTCCAGAAACAAAGAAAGAATTAAAGAGCTGATGGTTATTCTGGTCTAGGAGTCATATGGGGAAAGATTTATTGTATGGGCCCTGACAATAATTTGACTTCTGAAGCACTTGATAATGGGTATAAGGGAGAGGAAAATTAGAAATACATGGAAGTCAGTTTAGTCAGATTTTAACATTCCTTTTGGCATTAAAAATTCAGGCAATCATCAGTTTATTCTTAGGAAATCTTAAGGTTATTAAAGATTATTAACAGTAGTGTTTTATAGTTGAGTTCTTTTTGAATTTAAAACACTTTGGCATATATTATCTTATTTAATTCCCTCACCTGCCCTGTGACATAGGAGAGAGAAGTGTCATTTCCTTTCTGTTGATGAGGTAGTACAGAGAGGTTCAGTTACTTTCCAAGGACAACTATAACTAGTAGAACTGAGCTCTTTCTTTATATTTTAAATATAAAATGTTACGGGTTATTGTTGAAGTTGTAAACTGTCTTTTGTTTTCTAAGTATAGGAATGTGTGGCTTATAACTAGGATGAATAATCTAAAATTTTCCTAATATTGCAACCATAAGAAAAGTTTTCTTAGGATTTTACCTAATAGTGCAACCATAAGAAAAGTTTTCGTAGGATTGCTGGGTGGCAAGACCCATTTTTTTTCTTTTTAAAGTTACCATTGTATATGTTCTTAAAACTTTAATTTTATCTGAATGAAGTGGTCTGAGATCAGAGACTGTGTCTTCCAACTTCCTCCTGACTTACTCTGTCTGCCATAGTGCCTGTTGGCACTCAGTGCAGATTCTTTTGTGTGAGTTGGGTATTGGGTATATTGCTGGGAAATGGTTAATGATGTTGATCTGACTGACTGCAAAATGCGTACGGTATCTGTTCTTAGTAAATGTTTACACTATGTGCACAGCACATGTGTCCCATTAAAAAACTACACAAGTAATACATGTTCATGAGCATAGATGTCTTAAACATACACACCCCCTTAAGTTTTGAAACAATCTTTGCAGTGCAAAGAACTTGGCCCTGCCCACCCAGCCATTTGTAAGTTGGCAATATTTTTATCATTCTCAAATATTTTGTGTATTTCTTACAAACAAGAACATTGTCCTTCACAACTAAAATACAGTAATCAAAATCCAGAAATGAACATGAGGCATTTTTACCATTTAATTCTCAAATCCTATTTCCCTTTTGCCTATTGTCCCAGCAGTGATCTTTGTAAAAAAAAAGTTCAGTCAGAACCTTGGGACACATTCAGTTGTCTCTTAAGTCTTCTTTAACACAGAACAGTCTCAGTGTTTTCTGACTTTTGTGCCCATGACACTTTGAAAATTGCCAGCCAGTCATTTTTTGGAATGTTCCTCATTTTGGATTTGTCCAATGTTTCTTTATGATTAGATTTAGGTTTTGCATCTTTGGCAGGAAAATCACAGAAGAGCCAGAATATATCTTTTTCAAAGATTAGTTTTACATTTTATTTTCTGTTTCCTTAGAGCGTTTCCCAAAGTGTATTCTGCGGAACTAGCACCTACTGTGTTCTCAACACCGTGCCACCTATAGAAGGTAGGATTTGAAAAAGCTTTTGACTTTCAGGAAGGGGTGGGCTTGGCAGTGAGAGTAACTCCTTCATCACAGTGCAGTGGAAACAGCCTTTGACCAGGTCTTTAGAAGGCCTGGGTTCTGCCTTTTAACTGCTGTGTGATCTTAGATGAGTTACTTAATCTTTTTGGGGTTAGTTGAAAGAATACTTCCTCATGTTTCTGTGAGGATTCAAAAAGTCAATGGATTCAGTCACTACAGAAAAGTCAGAGCACTCTGTGTTGATCGTAATACAGTTTTATAGCTCTGGAGTCCAGTACCATGTGACATGGAGTAAGAACATGTGGCATTGTGGGGAAAACCACGGGTCATGTTTGAATCCCATTTGAGTCATTTGTAACTGTGAATCCTGGGCAAATTAATCTCAGCCTCAGATTCTCTATCTGAAAAGTGGGAGTGATTAAGTTTTTATGTTTTATTATGAGGAGATAGAGAGCACAGTGTAAAGTCCTTTCTGGGTACCTAAGTCCCACAAATGTTTGCCCCCTAATCAATGCTAGAAAAGAGATTCACTTGATCATATGAAGGTCAAGTTGTAACCCAGTGAAATGAAGTGGAGAAGATGTGTCTAAGCTTAAATTGAAGTGATAGATCACAGGGTTTATGTGCCTCCATTTACATTTTTTTAGATTGAAAATGTAAATGCAGATAAATAGAAGTTTATTGACCCCAAGCTATGAGTTGACCTAAACCTGGACCAGAAATTTAATAACAGATTGATAGGAAACAGATATATCTGGACCACACAAAAATAGTGCCATGTGTTGATTGCATAGCTCTATGAAAAGGAGAAAGGTTGTTAAGTAGCAAAACTAGCTATGCTTTTCTGCTTAAAAATTACTTTCTTTTATTTTTAACCTTCAAAAATCTTTTGGATAATTACAGCTGTGTTTAATTCATTTTGGAGACTGTCTGGAAAAGAATAATGCAGACTATGATCAATCCTTGGCACATAGTTGGTGCTTAATTAATGTTTACTTTGGATGAGTAGTGATTTGAAAGTCGTAGGTTAGTCATGGCAGTATTTGCTGCTGTGAGCACTGTGCTGCCTTGAACGCAACAATGTGTGCTTATGTTTTCTTAAACCAGTTCCTGTCCCACTAATTAAATCTGAGCACATAATAATTATACTTAAATAGGAGATTGTAGAGCTTCCTTTAGTCTTATCATTCCAAGTTATTGATCAGATGTATTCCTGATAAGATTTAGCAAGTGGATACACTGATACACCAATTCATTTTGAACAGTTTGGTCTAGAGGTTGAGAGGTTAAAACTTGATTAACAGTGTTCATCATTGCTCATAGTATCAAAATTATTTAATTTTTATTATGAATCAAAATAGATGTATCATATCTAGGTTAGAGTCATTATAGTTTACCTTGTAGAAGTCAGAGTGTTCAAGGAACAGGTCAAATACAAATCTTTGGAGTTAGATTTAAATAAAGGATTGGGCAATGTGAATCTCAGTTTTTAGAAATAAAACCAGAAGCAGGAATTCTATTTTTTGTCTTAATGAAGTGAATGAGCATTTTTGTACATTTTAGGAAGATTTAGCTAAATTATACTATACCTATAAAATTATCATTTAGAAAATATTTGAAGGTTGACTAGAAAGGATGGTTCATTCTCCAGAATTCTGTCAACCAAATAAATCATCTGTCAATTTTAAGAGCTTCACTAGTTATGTTTTTTTGTGAAGTAGGTTAGAAGATTATTTTGGTCATATATCACACATGCGTATGTGTAGATAATGCTAATGAAATGTTTTACTGTCATTTGGTTGGCACTCCCGTTTTGCAGTGTCAAAGTTTATCTTTGGATTGACTACTGAGATGCAATTGAAACCAGCGTATACCTTAATTTTTTTGTTAACTTAAGATACTGTTACTAGATTTCAAAACTGGCACATGTATTTAATTATTTAATCATTTATAGCTGTTCTAAAAACATGAAACAGTAGCTTTTAATTAAAAACCGATTTTTATGCAGTATTGCCACATAAGCAGTTCTTTTCCAGTATAAAAACAAAATTTCTCCTTATCACACTTTAACCAGAAACACTGAAATTTGAAAATAGGAGTTTTAGCATTTTGCTTTTTCGAGTTCCTAATAATTCTTTCTCCAGTATTGAAATTGCCATCTTCATAATGCGCAGTGGGAAAATTTACCCATGGTTATGTTTCTTAAAAACATCCAATTTATATTCAGCATATGAACCTAAAATTGTAGAAATGGCACAGTTTAAAAACTGATTAGGGCACCCATTGCCCTGTCATACTCCTCTTCCTTTTTAACCCCTGACTGCACATTCCCATAAAGTGCTATCTTTAGAAACTTGGTTGAGACAGTGCTTACACAGCTTTCTGCTTCTCTTTAAAAGCCTTTGGGCTAAATCACCACCACCTGATTCGGTATCAGAGCAGAAGACCGAAGCTTTTCCTATAGCTGTCAGTTGTACTGAAGAGAAGAGAACCCCTACTCTCCCTCACACTGTATTTACCACAGGGCAGCTGGACTCTTTAAAGAGGCTTAAAGGGACAGGAAATTAACATCAGGTTGTGAGCACAGAGAGACAGAAGCTAGCGTTTAGTTTTCTTTTCATTAGTGTTCAGAATTCTGCTTTAAACAAATTGCTTTCTCAGGGATATGACTGTTTATATGCAAAGCATAAGCATTGATTGAGCACATAGCCTAGTGCTATTTTCTTAAAAGGTCCCTGTAAATACTGAATATTTGAATTGAATATAGATTTTAGAATTTCATTTCTACTTTAGAAATTGTATACATCATTGGGGTTTTTAAAAAATGAGAATAAAACCACTTTAGGTGCAGAGAGAAGGGAGGTAAAGGCTCTTATGATTTGGTCTTCTTTGTTTTAAAGTTTTATGGCCCATGGCACCTCCCTTGGGAAGATGGAGTGCAGGGAGCATGCATGAGCACATAAAATTACAAAGATGTTATAGTGTGTAGTTAGTACAGAACTTTCTCCTAGTCTAACAGTTTTCTTGGTTTCTAAGTAAAATATTTAAAAGAGTTTAATCTTATTTCGCTATCAAATTAAAACTTTAGATTCTTAAAAACAGTTTTTAAGTTTTTCCAAGTTTTTATACTGTTGTAGAAATATATGATGGTGTTATAATTCATTGGTTATGTAGTTCATGCCCAAAAAAGATTTAGTGCACTAAAACTCATCTTAAGTTCATCCTATAAAGTATTCTGTATGATGTAGTAAATTTTTTAGACTATTTCTATGCCCATGTTTCCCTTTTAAATCTTTTCCATGAGAAGAAATGTGTTAATCAGATGAGAAATGTTTGGAGAAGTTTTATGACCTTAGAAAGTATTTTTTAATTCTTTTATATTTTTTACATGTTCCAAAAAATAGACTCTGCCAAACAAAATTATAGTAAATAACAGGAAATATTGTTTTTTACTTTTAACATTATCAGTGTATGTAAGACTGCTGAATTGCAAGACGTGTTAAATTATTGATCGATTTTATAAATTTTATAGGGATTTGTACATGAAGGAGAATGAAGTGATCTCTAATTCTCTTATTAATGATTTGGGAAAACTGAAAATATTAAGTAACTTACCCAAGGTCACACAATTAGAATGTAGCAGAACTTGTCCAGATTCTTGGAATCTTAACTCTTGAGTTTGGTGTTTTTATTATATCTTACTAATACCAGAAAAAATGATAAAACTGTCCAACTAGAGCAAATCCAGTCTTCAGTGTTCCTTAGTACCTACTTATGCATTGTATCCTTTATATGTATATTTGGGATTTCATTTAATATCAGCAAAAATGGAGTGGGTAATTTGAAACCTTTGGCCTAAATTTGCCACAGCTGGCAAGGAGTTTTGAACCAGGCAGAGGACCTGTGTTGCAGGAGTGGGATAAAAATACAGTGTAAATAAATGATTGAAATAAATGTGATCTAAAGAAATGATCTCTTCTAGAAAGCACCAGCTAGACAGATTACCAAGTTGTCAGACATACTGTCTAGTCTAAAAGTAATCATTTTTCTCTAACTCATTTAGAAGAGTTACATTTTGATGATATATCTGAAGAACTAATAATTCTACAGATATGTACATGTAAATCAAGTTAATTAAAGTGGTATGTTTTTAGATTCAGGATGGAAATGCCAGCTCTGTCTTATCTGGTAGCCATCTGTAGGTTTAAATTCCTTATAAGTTTAATGATTTGCTTTTGAAGGGATAAATTTCATTTGTGTTCTAAGGGATGAAGTTGTATTTAGTTTATGAATAAAGTAGTCATGTGTTACAGTTCCTACCTAAAAATCTTGAAACCTTTTCAACTAGTTAATAAAAGATTTATGGGTTTTGTGGAGTTAAATGATTTTGCAGTTTTGATGTACTTCATGGAAACATGGGGAAAGGATCTTTAAAAGTAACATTCTGGTTATGGGCAGCTGCTGGGATATTCCCTGTTCGCTTGCTTGTGTTGGAGCAGAGCACGATCCTATTTTAGAACCTCACAGCCAGGTTCCTGCTGCCATCCATCTGATAAGAGTGTAGGCAAGTGCTACCGAGAGGAATAGAGACTAGAGGCCCTCTGATGCTCTTGGTCTTACAGCTACTAAACTGAGTTGCTGTTTCTTACCTTGCCAGTGTACTTAAAAGGAGGCTTTTCTCTTATTTTCTCTGAATTTATTGTTTTCTTCTTTATAGATGATCATGGGAACAGCAATAGTAGTCATGTAAAAATCTTTTTACCGAAAAAGCTGCTTGAATGTCTGCCGAAATGTTCAAGTTTACCAAAAGAGAGGCACCGTTGGAACACTAATGAGGTAGATAAATTTCTGTTTTTAAGGGTATAACTATTTTAAAGGCAAACTTTCTAGGCTATTCTCATGGCACTCCTTTATATTAACTTGAAATTCAAAAAATACTGAATTAGAAAATTGTCAATGAGATTAATCTGGATTGGACAGGAACCAACATGTGTCCTGACCTGTCTCTGATCTGCTTGGCTTGCATTGAAACGTAAAATGTGCACACTGACTTAACCAGGGTAACATGAGTTTCTGTGCTGTGTGTTTTCTTGCCTTTTGGCGTCTTGCATTTGGTGGTTAACCCTACCTGCTTCTCATTTAAACATTAACATTAGTTCCGTGTTGTCATGAATGAATGAATGTGCAGCCCCAGTGTTTCACAGAAAATACAGCGCTTTGACAATGAGAAGTTTCTATAATTGGGAAGAACAGGCTCCTTATGAGCAAAACATCTTTAGTCCTCTCTGGTGAAGAAAGTTTGCTTGGAGAATTCTCTGAGTTACCTTAATGATAGGAATTTTTATTAGGACCAAAGGCAGTAATAATAGATTATATATTTGGCATGCAGATAAAAAGTAGATCGATGAAATAGAGTGAACAGAAGTTTATCTTCTTGGATGATGTTTCCTTTTTTGGTAAATTTTAATATGGGACCATATTACCTTGTCTGAATTTTTAAATTTAGGATAATAGCCATTAGTGTGGTGATAAGAATTGGATATGTGTCTATTTCAATTTAAGGTAATACTAATTACTGTGCTGCTGAGAATTTGGTATATGGCCATCAATATGTGAATTATATTCCTTTAAGTTCAAATGGCTGGAGTTAACTAGTTTTGACAAGTTGGTCTAGTTCCATTCCTGTTGCTGGTTCAACATTTACTTCCAATTTAGGTTAAAATATAGCTTCCTACCCTTGATAGTTACTCAGCTTTGTTAGGACACAAGAAGAAAACAGTGTTGTTGAGCCTTAATTTTGAAAGATTCTTTTGTTTCAACTTAACTCGGGAATGCTTTTGTTTTTGAGTTATGGGAGGTTAAATGGATGAAAGTCTCTTTACTTTTCACAAGTTAAGCATTTAAATACTAGAACCTTTCAGCTTTGCTACCTTGTCTTAATTGATTTTTAAATCTCTCTTAAGGTATATGTATTTTGATTATTTGCATAAATGGTACTTGCCCTTTAGGTAGAATACTTTTGTGTTGACAAACATTAGTTACTTTAGAGGCCTATGTTTTTAACCAGTTTTTTTAATTGACAGTGTCATACATTTTAGACATGAAAACAAGTATGTTAAAAATTAGTCTTAATCATGGACTGTAACTCTTATTCAGTAATATAGAAAAATTTGGAAGCCATCCAGTAATTCTCTTCAAGGTTATGAATTACTTAAAAACACAAGTTTCTTCCGGGTGCTGGTGGCTTACATTTATAATCCTAGCTACTTGGGAGGCTGAAGTTGGAGAATCATGGCTTGAGGCCAGCCCATGCAGATAGTTCTAGAGACCCCATCTCCAAAATACCAGAGCATAAATGGTGCTAGAGGTGTGGTTCAAGTGGTAGAGTGCCTGCTTTGCAAACTTGAAGCCCAGAGTTCAAACCCCAGTCCCCCCCAACCAAAAAAAAAAAAAAACCAGAAACCTCAAGATTGTTAATATTCCCTGAGACATAAACTTAATGCCATATTATTATAAATTAGTTCTACTTTATAATTGTTAGAAAACACATAATATGTTTTCCAGTATTATATTTCATGTAGAATTGATAATATAATTTTAATTTAAAATTATATTTGAAACCAGATAGTCTAATGATTAAAATTGTTGGCCTTAAGAGTTTCAGATGTAACCATGTCAGAAATTTAATTGGTAGCTTATTTAGATTGGTGGCTTAAGCTAAAAATTTTGAGCAGTATCGTTCATCATTCACATATTTATTTATTGTAAAACACCAATAAAGAATTTTTATAGAGGACAAGGTTAAAGAATATGAGGTTGACTCCTTTGGAGACCACAGGTTGCTTTCGCTCAGCTTACAGAGGAAAATGCATCCCTCTTTCTGACTGTGAAATGTGAAATTGGGGGTCTAGATGAGAAAAGGTGGATTGCTTTGAGCAGGTGATTGCTGCTTCAGTAAGCATAACAGAGAAGGTGTGTTTCTAAGGGTGGAGACAGCAGGAGGCAGCGCAGCTAACAAGGGCAGCCACACAGCATCCATTCCCCTTGGGATTGGTTGTTCTTTTAGTAATTTGTCAGTTCAGCACTGACAAAAACTCTTAGGAGAGAACTGAATTTAAAGGTTGGCCCATATTTCTGTGTAAAGGACCTTGGCATGTTTTCCCCATTTTCTATTTCTTGGTTTTAGGAGAAACAGATACTAAGTATGACGGTGGGAGATGTACATTAGGAGCTGTTAATACCATAGGATGTGATACAGGGATGATACCCTGTCATCGTTATTGTTTCTTTGCTTTTTAAAAGCTGCCTTGGATAATAGGGGGAAGAAAACAGTACAGTTATTAAACTACTTGTTTCTTTGGTCTTCTTGGGTATTGGCATTTTCCCCGTACTCTTCAGCCTGCCATTGTTCATGGTGACATTAAAACCTGAAAGAAACCAAGTTCGATGGATTTACTTCTCACAGGGGCTTTCTAGTCCTAGGTGAGGAAAATCTTGTTTAGTCAGTGTTTCTGAGAGATCCCTTGACACTCTCACAAAGTGAAGCATAGTCACACTGCCATTGTTAAGAGCCCGTTTTCCTTCAAAAGTGAAATAGCTGCATTTTGGTTGAG